TGGCTATGTTTGTAGTGGGAGAGAGTGGCCATATTTGTTGTGGGAGAATATGGCTATGTTTGCAGTGGGAGTGAGTGGCCATATTTGTTGTGGGAGAGGGCAGCCATGTTTGTTGTGGGAGAGAGTGGCAATGTTTATTGTAGGAGAGGTCGGCCATGTTTGTTATAGGAGATGGTGGCCACGTTTGTTATGGGAGAGGGCAGCCATGTTTGTTGTGGGAGAAGGTGCCCATGTTTGTTATAGGAGTGGGAGGCCATGTTTGCTGAAGTAGATGGCTGGCTTCATAATGATGGCCAAACCACAGCTTGGACCATCCCGGCTGAGCAGCAGCCCTGATAGACATTAGAATGCAATGGGATAGTGGGGATAATGGTTGAATTAGATGACTTGAAGGTGCCGGGGTGGGGCTGGGGGGGATGGTGAGCTGGGAAAAAGCAAGATAGACAAAACCCTGGAGACATTGCCAAGTGGTGCCACTAGACCAGGAACATCCAGTGGGAAATGGATCACTCTGTACCATCCTCCCTCGTCATTGCATTTCTCCAACTCCTTGTCTTGGCATCTTTGTCAAGTTCAGAACAAGAATAGGTACACAGCAAGATCTCACAAAAAGCCAAGACCAAAAATGGCCTGATACCATTTGCTTTATTTCCCTTCTGCACTGGGCCATTGGCTCAGGGATAGATTCCGAGTGCCAGACACCAGAGGGAACACCCTCAGATGTAACCCTCCTCCCAAATTCTTCCATCCAACAGGAACCATGGGATACTTATAGAGGAACAAAAATGGCAGACGTGGCCTGAAGGTTGTTGTTCCAATATGTTACCTCCAAAAGCGCCCGCTCCCTCGGCACCGACCCTCTGACAGTGCCTACTCCCTCAGCGCTGACCCTCCGACAGCACCCCACTCCCTCAGCGCTGACCCTCCGACAGTGCCCACTCCCTCAGCGCTGACCCTCCGACAGTGTCCACTCCCTCAGCGCTGACCCTCCCACAGCGCCCCGCTCCCTCAGCACTGACCCTCCCACAGTGCC